GTTACCTTGACAAGGCCAGACACAGACCCTCCAAATTTGTATTCTTTACCTCATAAGGTTACCTGAATTAGTTTGTCCCCACTGACTAATGAGAACAAATTTTTTTTTTTATCAGAATTTGGTCAAGTGTCTCTCCCCTTCTCTTCCCACCAGAATCCGGCCCCACCCTCTGGCCCAGCCAGTAGGACTTCAAGCCCTCCTGCCAACAGTCTTCATCCAGCTTCCCCACACCCAGTGTTTCCTGGATTTGTTCAGCCCTCTCTGAAAAATGAAGCCAGACTGCTATAGTCTCCAACCACCTGCAGGTTTTGCAGTCAGAGCTCCTCCCTACAGCACTAGGCTCTCTCTGCACCCCACCCCCAACCAATCCTGCAATGATCCTTTGGGGGGGGGGGGGGGAAAGTCTCTTGCTAAGTCCTGGTCTGTTTTTACTTGATACTGTAAATGTGGCCTCCTGTTTCTTGGCTGCTGGTCAGAGCCTGCCCAGCTCATACTCCCATCTGCCTGAGATCAGCCCTGCTCACATCCCGTCCAGTCCAGTCTGAGCACATTTCTGGGAAGGGACATCCTTTGTCTTTTGATGCTCAGCAACAAGAGTTTTGCAGCCTTGCTCTTCAGACATTGGAACAGAAGTAACAGATCTCTGCACTCATTGCTGCTGCAACAATCTCTGGGTACCTTTCCCAGTCAGAAGATATTTTTTCTGCATCTCCAGTAGAAGATTCCTTTTTCATTTCTTAGACAAACATTAGATATATATATATTTTTTTTTTCATAGAGGCATACACTTAAAATTAACCGTATATAGTATTGGGCCTCCTGTCATTTGTTTCAGATGGAGAATTAGATGATAATTTGTCATAGGGAAAAAGACTGAATGCTTCGTACAGAGCTGAAAATTATGAATTGATTCAAAAGATAGATTCTGGAACCTGGAATTCTCCACATTTTATTGCCAGGAGCTGTGATGAAAGTGTTTACTCTTTTGGAAATTATGTAATATTCTGTGTAAAGCTGTTCAAAAAGAATCTATGTTGTAAGATTGCTAGGGGAAGTCAGACAACATATTTCATATTTGTTTTCTCACTCAAAATGTTTTGTTGAATACTGCCCATGAGCCAGGGGCCAGGCCCAACACAGGAACACAGCAGTGAACAGATCAGAAGCTGTCTGTCCCTCCCTCGTGCGGCTTGTTTTTTAGCAAGAGAGAGAGGGGTTTAAAATAAGTAATCAACATTTCCTAAACTACAAATATGAAATTCTGCGGCTGCCAAGGACACCACCTGCCAAGGGACTACGAGTCAGGTGGGGTTGGAAGAAAGAGTATAAAGAGGGGCTCCAGTAGCTCAGGAACAAATAGTAAGGTGATAAAAAGAGTGATGGGCTGGTAAGGGAGCTGTGAAAGACAGGACTCCTGTGCCCAGGGACTTGATCTACTCTGTAGGTGTAGATAGAAGTCCATGAGCAATCAGCACAGTATTTTCCACAAACAAAGCACTTCATATTTATGAATTGAAGAAATGGCACTTCATGGACATGTCACAGGATATAATTTAATTCTGAAAAGTGGTCAAAGAGGGCTGAGGATTAATAATTTAAGGATTTAGAGGAGGGAGACATTCAGGCATTCCCTTGAGAGTTTTCACATTTGAATACTGCAATTTAGAATGATCTGTTATTTGCAGTTGGTTACTGAAACTGTTCAAAGATGAATAAAGGAAACTTTTATTGGGAGAAGGGAGTGGAAGAGAGAAGCCAAGTAAAAATCTAAAAAAAAAAAAAAAAAAAAAGGTCTAAACACAAAATAAAATAAAGCCAAACAAATAAATCAAAGCTTGTGTTAGGCAGCTTTTTGTTGCTGTGACCAAAATACCTGATATTAGCCACCTAAAGGAGGGAAAATTTACTTTTGGCTCATGGTTCCAGTACCTGCTGCACTGGCTCTTTTGCTTTGGCGGGAGGTGAGGCAGAATATCAGGGTGGAGGGTGGAAGCAAGCAGCTCACCTCAGGACAGCCAGGAAGAAGAGAGAAAGAGTGGAAGGGCTTCTAGGGCACACCCCAGTGACCTCTTTCCTCCAACTAGATCCCATCTCCTGCAGTTTCCACACCTCCCAATAATGCCATCAGCTACAGATCAACAAGCAGATCCATTCATGATCCAATCACCATGCAAGAGCTCTATCTCCAAGCTTTGTTGTATTGGGACCAAGCCCTTCAACACATAAGACTTGGGGATTCAAGTGTGGAACCATGATAAAATTCATGATCAAAAAATCATTCAAGTTGTATTTGCTCAAGGTATATTCAGTGCACATTTACTGAGGTTAGCATGTTAACCCACCGGGTTACACTGAGCACAAAACAGTCAAGATGCCTGGAATTTGGATCTGGTGGCAAAAGATATTCATTAAACAAATAACTAATGAAACAAAATAAGTTCAGGGAGTGTGAAATGCCAGAATTTTGATAATTCTAATATAAAAAGGTAGATTTGAAACATATGTACCACTCATTCCTTCAATGAATTCTCTGAGATAATCTCTAGTTAGTTTGGGGATCTTTGATGCATTTTTTTTTTTTTTCTGATTTTCCCTACCAGGCAACAAAAGACATAGCCTGAGTGGGATACATATCATCTTCCTTTAAAAGCTCCATAAACTACCTCTTAAAGTCAACCCCAGGGAACATGCAACCTAAATAAAATGGGTAATTGGCTCACAGCATAGTCTCCCAATCGCTGCTTCACTGATGGTGACTTCTTATTTATTTTTTTTAAATTTTTATTTTTTCAGTTGTAGATGAACAAAAACCTTCATTTTATTTATTGATTTGTATCGAACCCAGTGCCTCACAGGTGCTAGGCAAGCGCTCAACCACTGAACCACAACCCCAGCCCATTCTTGCTTGGTTTTTATGGTAGAATGGGTGAACAGGCTCCTTGGGCTCTTTTATTAGGATACCGCTGTGGTTTGAATGTATATGTCCCTTCACAATTCACCTGTGGAAACTCAATACCCAAAGATGGTGTTACAAGTGGAGGCTTTTGAGAAGTGGTTGAGTTGTAAGTGCTCTGAGTTCACCAATGGAACTGGCACTTTTTATGAGATGCATTGAAAGGAGCGAGGTAGTCACTTTCCCCTGAGGTTACATCAATAAGCCACCACCTTGGAAGCAGCAAGAGAGCCCTTAATACACAAGGAGCTGCTGCTGACTTGGATTTCCTAGCCCCTTGGGTTGTGAGAAATAATTTTCGGTTACTTATAAGCTACTTGTTTTTTTACTGCTTTGCTATAGCAGTCTGTTAGCTTTGTGTTACTGTGATAAAAGTATCTGGCATAAGTAACTTAAAAGGAGCAAAGGTTTATTTTGGCTCACAGTTTCAAAGGTTTTGGTCCACCTACACTTCTCTCTATTGGTTCTGGCCTGTGGTGAGGAAGAACATAATAGAGGGAAGCAAACGTAGAGCAAAGCTGCTCACCTCATTGTGTTTGGAGAGTAAACAAAGGAGAGAATGAGAAGAAGGGATCAGTGATCTACTTCCTCCATGAGGTCCTCCTGTAGTTTCCATCACTCCGCTGTAGCCATTACGGTGTGAATTCATAAATGGGTTAATTCAGTGATGAGTTCAGAGCCCTCGTGACTGAATCATGTCCTGAGCCCCCACCTCTGAACATTGGGGCCCTGGGGACTAAGCCTTCCACACATGGGCTTTTGGGGGACATTTAAGTTCTAAACTGTAACACAGTGCAGATGGATTAAGACATTACTCTTCTTTTTCATGTTTTCTTGAAAATTCTCAGTTATGTAATCCTTCATATAAAACTTAAAATTATTTAGTTTGTTATAACATGTGCATTCCCAAGAGAATTTGGGGCTTTCATGAAAACTGCATTAATTTTCTAATTTGACTTAGAAGGAATTGGCATGTTTTTGATACTGACTCCACAATTGAGAAAACAGCGTGTGTTTTCCATTTATTCTGTCTTTCAGCCAAGGTTCATCACAAAGACTTTGTAACTTGGTAAAGTTTATTCCTAAGTATTTTATGGATTTTGTTGCCATTGTGTAGAAAACCTTAATATTTCATTTTTAATAGGCTACTGGTTGCTCAAAGTAAAGTTTTGATTTTTCTTCCACTTACCTGGAGTGAAGTCTTTTACTGAACTAAATTTTAACATTGAGGCACCCAGATTTCCAACATTTCCTATCATCTGCAAATAATGACCTACAAATGATGACATTGTCTTTTTTGGTGGGGATAAGGGTGGGGTGGCTTGACAGTGACAGTGCTGTACCGCAGAATAACATGGCTTTTCTTGGCCAGGGCTCAGTTGGTCTTAGTTATGTGTAGTCTTTGCACCACCTACCTAGGAACATGTCACTGCTCTGCCATCTAATAAGTGTGTGACCTTGGGCAACTTTTTAACCTCTATAGACCTCAGGGTCCCCATCTACAAAATAGGAATAACAGTGGTACTTAATTCAGAAATTAAAGAATTAAAGAATTAAGCACTAGTTTAAAAAGCATTTGGAATGCACATTAAGTCTTACGTCAGGTATTAGCATACACTAATCAAAACCCTACTGCATAATTTACCTCCTGTAAGCTTCAGAACCAGGTCAGAAAGTGCGTCAAAGTGCATTTTGCAAACAAGGAAACAAGCAGCAAGAGTGGAGTGATCTGCCAAAGGTCACTCTATACAATGGAGTGATCTGCCAAAGGTGATCTGCTCCTAGAAAATAATCCAATCAATCAACTCCTGTCAAGGCGTGGCTTAGATCGTATTAAAACGTTGATCCATTCTACCTTGCGTGGCATTTTACTAGAAAAACTAAAAGTACACTGACGCAAAGGCGGCAGGCTCCGGCTCTGAGTTCGTAGGCTTCCGCCAGGAGTGGCGAAAAGGGCCGAGTGCGCTCGGAAACGCTCGCCAGTCCTCGGCCACCATCGTCAGGCGGTGGGGCTCACGCTCCGGCACGTTTCGCGCAGGGTATTGTGGGAAAGGCGGCCGGTGCAGCCGCAGCTGCCATCTTAGAGACTCCTTGCGTTGCGGCCTTCTCGTTGGAGGCGGCCTTCGTGCTGACTGTAGACCTCGAGGAGAGGAAGAAAGTCGGCGAGTGGACAGCCGTCGTTCCTCCGGCCTCCACAGGACGGTCAGCCCGCGTCCGAAGGCGGAGGCGAGGGGAGCCAGGCGCGTGCGGGGCCCGAGGCCAGCGGTTAGTCAGAGCGGCGCCCGGAAGGATGGGCCGGTCCCGGAGCCGGAGCTCGTCCCGCTCCAAGCACACCAAGAGCAGCAAGCACAACAAGAAGCGCAGCCGGTCGCGGTCGCGGTCGCGGGACAAGGAGCGCGTGCGCAAGCGTTCCAAGTCCCGGGAAAGTAAACGGAACCGGCGGCGGGAGTCGCGGTCCCGCTCGCGCTCCACCAATACGGCCGTGTCCCGGCGCGAGCGGGACCGGGAGCGCGCCTCGTCCCCGCCCGACCGCATCGACATCTTCGGGCGCACGGTGAGCAAGCGCAGCAGCCTGGACGAGAAGCAGAAGCGGGAGGAGGAGGAGAAGAAAGCGGAGTTCGAGAGGCAGCGAAAAATGTGAGTGCCGCGGGGGGAAGGGCTGGAGAGTGGGGGTGCGGGCCGGGAGTGGGGGCGCTGGCCCGGAGTGGGGGCGCGGGCCGGGAGTGGGGTCTTGCGCTGGGCAAACGGCGGGGATGGGGCTGCGGGGTGGGCGGACCGGGAGGGGGGGGGCCGCTGGGGGGTGGGCAGACGGGGAGAGTGGGGGCTGCGGGGTGGGTAGGCTAGGAGAGCCGTGGGCACTGCGAGGTGTGAAGACCGGGAGAGAGCGGGCTGCGGGACAGGCAGACGGGCAGAGAGGGGGCTGCGGGTTGGTAGATGGGGAGAGTGGGGGGCTGCGGGTGAGTAGGCGCACAGAGTGGGGGCGCTGTCGGGTGGGTAAACCGGGAGACTGGGGGCTGCGGGCTTCGTGGGCGCGGGAGAGTGGGGGCGCTGCGGGGTGGGTAGGCAGGAAGAGTGGGGGCGCGGGGCTGGGAGAAATGCAGGAAGGGTGCAAGCACCCGCCTGGGGGAACACGTGGTTTGAAACCCTTAAGTGGAAAGACCCACGAGGTGGCTGGGATGTAAAATCGTGGTGCTAGAGGGGAGAAAGCGATTTTGGCGCGCGGAGTGGAGAGTCCCGGAAGTAGGGGTGGAGTTCAGAAAGAGGTCTGGGCGCTGCGCTGGCGGGTAAGGCGGGGATTCGGTTAGCCTAAAGGTGTGGATGGTCAGCTTTTGCAGGTCCGCTTGTGAAGGGCATGGAAAGGAATTAACCCGTGGGGTATAAATTGCAGCTTGCCAGAATCATCTTTTTTTGAAGCTTAGATTGAGGACAGGGTTTAAGACACTTTAAGTGGTTCATCAAAAAACAAAGAAAACCCCCACATTTTTGGCTTAGTGTGTTTAAAGGTGTGGCCTTTGCTTTATATCCCTCTCTGGTCTTTTATCCCTCTTTTTTTTTTTTTTTTTTAAACAAATAAAAATCAAAATGCATACCTTAGTCGACTTTGATATTTGATTTCACCTATGTAACCATCATTCTATACAAAGTCTATTCCTTCATATACTCCAGTGAGTATGTGTAGTTCTCTTTTTCCCCCTTGTAGTATACTTGTTTAGAATACGTTTAAGTATTTGTCTTTATTTTTGCCTTGCTCACATACAGAATTTTTATGTAGGGAAAATCAGTTACTGTAAGGGTTCTTATTTGAAATTCTGTTTGGGTAAAATCATGTGGATCTGAAAAGGAATCACCTCTCAAGTGTCTTTGGATATAAGAGTAGATGTGTAAATGTGGATAAACCACACTAAGTGAATGTCTGGTTTTAAAATATAGTTTTGTGTAGGTCAGATGTTGGATACCTGTAATCCCAGCTACTAGGGCAGGGAAATCTCTTGTTTCAGGCAACAAAGGAAAGCCCTTTTTTCAAACAAAAATGTAGAGTTGTGTTTTTTACTTTTAAGATCATGTTACTTAGATGTTCTGGATTCCCCAAACTCACAGTAGGGAAGTAGAGTTTAACAGATATACTAACTCCCTATTTAACCAGTACTCATGAGGCAGGAATATTAGTAAATTATGATCTTCCTGCAAGGATTTTATGTATACATTATTGTCTAGGGGTTTTACAGTTTTCTGCAGTTAGGTTTGTATAATGTAGGCTTTCCAGCACACCTTGTTTCTAAAAGCAAAGTTATTAGGATGTATGGAAATATATCATAAATAATACTAGAGAGAAAGTTTACTAATTTGCTGTCTACATTTCTTTAAAGCTTATGCAGTTGTTCCACTTCTATACTTGGAGCTGTTGATGATGTATATGAAAACATGTAAAATCCAGCTTTTGGATCTGGAAAAAGATCCTTAGCCAAAAAGATAAAGCTATCAACAGGATATATGAGAAATTACCTAAGACATGACTGATAATTTTTCCATGTGAAATAACTACTTGCCTTTTCACTAGGAAATTAAAACTTAAAGGAAAAATGAAAGGAAATTTGATATATAAAGAATAATTAGAAACATTTAGAAGCTACATGTGGATAGCAGAGAAGAGATCCAGGGATGAGATGATAGGAAATAGAATTGGTATATGGTTCTAGGTTGAGAGAGAGAAACTGCCATTCATGTTTACAAGGGGAAAGAGGTAGGACCAGTAGCCACTTGAACCCTAAATTCCTGTGTGCTGTATAGACTTTACTTAATGTGGTCTAATGCCTTAGAAATAATGCAAAGAAAAGTCTGGAAAGACAGGTGTTAGAGCTTTGGAAACAGGAGCAAGTAGTTGTTTACAAATCCCTGTTAGTTCATTCAGTTAGTATTTACAAAGACTTTAGTAGGTGCCAGGCACTGTGCTAGGCAATATTAATATAAAGGTGATTGGTCTCTTCTAAGATTTTGATGGCTAATTCAAGGACAGGTAATTGATACAACTGTATAAAGGAAGCATCCTGGTGGGTAAACACCTTAGTTGTCCTAAAGAATGAATTAAGGGTATAGGAGGAAAAACTGTCATGCTGGGTATAGAGTATATGTGGACCAAAGGAGAAAGCCTCCTTCACCACCCCTGTCACAATAAGGAGCTTGAAAGGCAGTGGTCTTAGAGTGGACCAGATATTTTTGGCTACAACAAGAAGTTCTTTAAGTACTACAGTGATACAGTGACTGAAGATGTAAACAGGCTGGAAATTAAGGAAGGGTTCTTATATGCCATATTAAGAAATTTGGTTTCATTCTAGAAACAGGAAAGGTTTTGAGGAGGTAAATGGCACACCCCCCCCCCCCATTCTAAACAGATCATGAATAGTTCTATAAGATGAAACAAGTTATGAGGAAGGAGGATACAGTAAACTGAGGCAAGAATAGTACAGTTACTAGAAAGGAAAAGAAGGACCAATTTAAGAAACATGGGATATAAAATTGGATCTCAGACCTAAAGAAAAGAACATTATTAGTTTTTATTTATAGTGTGGCTATTGTAATTTATCCAGAAACTTGCTGAACAGTGGCTAAGGAAGAGGGAAAAGCAGGAGTTTCCACTTGGCACTCCACTGTGGGCCATAGTTTTAGGTATTCTGAACTTGCTTAAATTAATAATGGTGGACTGAAGCCTAAGGAAAGGGGGCTTTACTTGTATCATTAAAATCCTGAGAGTTTATGAAACGACCAAGGCAGAGTATAAGGAGAGAAGAGCAGTTGGTTAAAGGGACTGAATGAAAAGCTCAGGTTGAAAGCAGAGCAGATACTAGAACAATGCAGAGTATCTTGTGTGTTCAAGAATTCTCAGATTAGATGGAAACAGTAAAATAAGATCCATTTGCTGAGTTTAACCAATTAGGAATTCTGTAGTCCCAGAGGAGATGAGATTGCTTTGCTTCTTAATCTTTTAAGACCTTAAACAAATCATCTCTGAGATTTTTTTTTTTTTGTCTGTGAAATGGAGATACCTGTCCTATTATGAAAATTGTAGGTATATCTAAATTATCTAGATGGTGTTTGGCATATAATGGGTCTCAGTGTTATTTAACATAACTTCTATACTGTCAGAGCCTGCTGAGTTTAAAAAGTGATCTTGTGAGTTATAATCTTAATGCAGTAAAAGGTAGGCCTTTAAGTTATTTCCTCACTTTGAATAGCTAATTCACATGATTCAAAATTAGATTCAGAAGGTTATCATGTCTGTGTCTCCCATCCATTCATGAATTGCTCTTACCCCTCCAGTAGACTGGTATTACCATTTTTTTAACTTTTTTTTTTTTTAAGAGATGCTATATATGTGTTATATTAATTGCTAAAATAAATAGACAGTTGAAAATGTCTTGTAGCAAATCAGGAAAATGTTAATGGTGTGATGTGCCAAAGCTTGAATATTCTACTGTTGAACTAGGGTTTCTGTGATTCTCAGACAGTACTTGAAGAGCTCATTGTGAAAGCAAACTTGGTATGTGGAACAGTGCATTCTTGGAGGTTGGTGCTTTGAGACAATAAGAGAGCTTAAAGACCTAGCTGGTATTTGTGGCTAGTTGTTTTGGTAGTTACTTCATATCTTTTCCTCTCACATTTATTCTGGAGAGACTGTGTAGGATAGTAAAGTACTTAAGTTCCTTAGCTTTGAAGTCTACCAAGGTTCATATTCACAGTTTAGCAGCACCCATTAAGCCTGAGTACAGAAATTTAACTTATTAGCTTCAGTCAATAATTCATACATTGTAGGAACATATCTGAGATTTAAGTGGTGACATGCTATACTGAGCTTTTAGGATAGTGATTTGGACCTTTTAACTGCTATTGGCTAATAATTTTTAACCAGTTCCTGGAAATAAACCTCTAGGATTGAGTTCATACATTTTAAAGACATCGTAAAATAGTAGTGACATTTGCTCTGTGCCAAGTTATACTCTCATTTGACAGTTGTGAAATGTTGTGCCCTTGCTGTTTTGTTACCATTTTAAAGTTGATTGTGACTAGTGTATTTAAAATACCAGAACACATAGAAGAAGTAGGGTCCAGGTAATAATACCATTTCCATTGAAAAACTTGAAGATTTTGATTTAACCTTTCATTAGCACATATTTTTGGCAAGGAAATGATTGATCAGAGAAGTATAAGGAATAGATTAGAGAAAATAATATGATGTTGACAACTCCTATAGCAAATGTTTTATGGACTGGCTATTAGATATCATATCTTTTTAAAAAGACCAGTAAGTAGTGTTTTGATCTTCAAGAAAGTTCCATTGCCTCTTATGGGAGTTAGCTTAACAGTGGTCTTATTGATTATGGTGATAAATTTGCCATCAATGAAGATGAATTTATGCATAATTCAATTGTATATGTGCCTGTATGTGTACAGGAGGAGAATGAAGTGGTATTGAACTCTAAACCTTAATTTTTAATACTGGTTCAAAAAATTGATTTAAATTTTTTTCCCCGAATTCTAGAATAGCATATTTAATCTTACCAAGAATACCAACAAAAGTTATATTCTTGTAATACTCCAAGAGGAACAGTTCTGCTGTGGTGCCCAGACCTTGCTGGTCTTCACTTAGAGACACATCAGTAAGGCTTACTGCACTCATGGTGGAATACTCTGTAGTTCCTCCAGGAGCAAAGGGAGATAAAGCAGCTTTGTGAGACTGCAGGAGGATGTTTCACACCCTCCACTGTTTCAGTTGAGCTTGGGACTTTCCATTTGCCCTCCCCTTTGGGCTATAAAACCATTGAGCTGTACTTAGACTTGACTTAGCAATAGAGAAACTCACCTTCTGTCCTCTGGCCCCTCTGGTTTGGTGTGATCAAGTGGGAGTAGAGACACAGGGAGCTGACACCATGCTGATTTAATTTTTGCTGTGAAGAATAACCTGAATATTTTTGGCTCATTTTGTCCTTAATGATCAAGTGTATGGAAATGTGGCCCAGTTAGCCACTGTGTTAGTGCTTAGGGATGGCATAACTTCCTGAGAAAACCCCTGAATATGTAAGTATAAGGTCTTTTCCAATTTTATCTATATTCCTAAATTGGGAACTTTTCTACTCTTGAGCTAATTTAAAGCCTTATACTGTTTTCCTTCCTTTCCACTTTGTATAGAAAGTTTAATTGAAACTCTTACAATATCCTTTTGAATAGTCAGTACTGAGTTCTACTTAACATTGATATTTAAGAATTGCATTGTATTGAAATTTTAAATATCAAGTTTCTTTTTAGGCCTCTACATTTAATAATTACATAATAATCAATTAGCAAATGTGTGTGTGCATTTATAAAACTAATGAAAAGTTGGCATATATAAAAGTAGAATATTGTTATCCTTATAAACCCATACCCAGATTCAGCAGTTGTCAGCCTTACTTGTTTTATTTTTTGTTATTTCTTTCCTTCCCTTTGGATGAAATAGAGACAACATTTTATATTAAAATTGTCATTTAATTTCCATTGAATTGAAATTACTAATTCTTTTAATGGTCTTGGCAGTTCCTATTAGGTAGTGTCACAGAAAGTACATGCTCTTATTGAACTGCTGTATATAAAAAGGCTTATTGTAATTACCACAATCTTGTATTTGATGGGAAATTAAGGAAAAGGAGAGAAGCATAGTTATTCCTACGCTTTCATATCTTTTTTTAAAATTTAGGAGATGTTTATGAAATGGAGTCCTCAGTATGGGTTCTGCAAATATCTAGGACCTTAAAGGAAAAGAAACTTTCTCTAGTACCTCCTATTTTTTTGATGGAGAAGAGAAATGACGAAACTGAAGTGAAGCAAAATGTTGAAGACAGTTTTAGTATTAGTGTGGTGTCACTAAATAAGTGACAGAAGTTGAGAATGAAAACCTGTTGGGTGGGAATTGAATCACTCCCAAGAATAGAATTAAGTTGGAGTGGATTGAGGTATTTAAAGGTCACATTGAAACTAGAGTCTTTACTAAATTTATGAATTGAATGACTGTTTCATACATAGGTATGTCAAATGAGTCACCAAAAGATATAAAAGTTGCAGGTTTTATTTAATTTGGATTGTGAGAAAGTTGAAGTGTTAATAAATTGTTCTCTTAGGATGTAGATACTTAGAGTACTCCAAGAGCCTCTGAATTCATTAGTTAAGCACAAATATTGCCTCAGTATGCTATTCACTAGTAATATATGAGCAAAATAGGCAATTTATAGTGTTCTAGTAGCCATGTTAAAAAGAAACCAGAATTAATTTTAATATATTCTTAGTCTGTCAAATTTTTATTAGATCTTTTATGTTTTTCTTAATACTAATCTTCAATTTAGACTAGATGCATGTGACTAGAGGCAAGCATTGGTATAAATTTTGTAAGATTTCCATGATAATACCTTGATAAATGTTAGTATTTTCAGCACAGATTTTATTTTGAATAAACAAGCTGGTTTATAATAGAATGGAATTTAAATAAAACAAAAATATCATTCTTCATTGAACTTTATATTTTCATCTTTCTACTTTTCCTATTACTGGAGGAGCTTTTCCTTGAAGATCAGTGAAATTTTTGGAAGAAAAGGCACAGTAGAAAAAAGTTGAGAAATTCAGTGATCTATATTTTGAGTGGAAGGTTCACAGTTCTGTTAACTTCAGTCAAATCTCTTTAAGTCTGTTTGTTCTGTCTTTGCTTAAGGAGAAGGGGCAAATGAATTGAGCCAGTCTAAATTCCCCGCTGCGTAATAGATTCTCTTGCTTTTCTGTAGCTCAGCTGTTCTGTTGAGTTGGTTGGCAAATGAGCAAATACATATATTTTTAACAGCTTATCCTCTTATTATAAATTTAATAACAGAAGTATATTTCTTAACACCTTAATATATTTAACATTTCCCCATATGTGACATGAAATGAATTGTAAAGTCATTAAATATGTAAAATCAAGCTGATGTGATTGAGACTTAAAATTAGTGTTTTTAAAATATCAAAATAATTTTTTTCCACTTTGTTTCATAGTCGACAACAGGAAATAGAAGAAAAACTCATCGAGGAAGAAACAGCACGAAGAGTGGAAGAATTGGTGGCAAAAAGGGTAGAAGAAGAATTAGAGAAAAGGAAGGATGAAATTGAGCGAGAAGTACTCCGAAGGGTGGAGGAAGCCAAGCGCATCATGGAAAAGCAGTTGCTCGAAGAACTCGAGCGACAGAGACAAGCTGAGCTTGCAGCACAAAAAGCTAGAGAGGTAACGCTCGGTCGTTTGGAAAGTAGAGACAGTCCATGGCAAAACTTTCAGTGTCCGGTTGTGCCTCCTGCTCAGTTCAGAAAGAGATGGAATACAGACTATCTAATTCCTTTCTCATCTAAACTTACATTGCTGCGAAAGTTAATTTTTTAGCCTATTCAGAAGTGCTGACTGATACTTAAAAGTTACTTTCATAAAACTTATTCAAGGATACTTTTTGATTTAATGGAACTGGCTTATATATTTGAGAAGTGTTTGAAACTTTTGCCATGGCTGCAGGACTTACATTCTTTTGGGCGGGTGGGGGGAGACAGGAAGTGGTAAAGGGAAAAGGTTAAAAAGCCACCTGTGGTTGTATATTCTTTTCTGTTTATCACTCTACTACCTAGACTGTGAGAGGCTTTTTGCCTTCAGTCAGATTAAAAAGAGCAGGGCCTAACATTGAGTGACAGCACCTGCTTTTGATAAATAGGTTTTCTCACTCTTCTTTTTCCCTTCTTTTATTCCTCCCCCTCCCCCAAATCCTGCTTCAGCACAATGGACTAATTCTAGCATTCTGATCATAAGGCCCTCCATTTTCCTAATGTGTTTCAAGGAATCTTTTTAGGAAAAATGTCCAGAATATTCATCCACTTTTTTAGTATCTACTAACAACTCCTTTTTTTCTCTAGAGAGTTATGAAGGAACAGGTTGTCCTTGTCTGGAGTCAAGCTAAACACATGATTTGTTTTATCAGCAGCTGGAGCAGAAGTTGAAAATGTCTTTCTGTGAGACAGTAATTTGCTACTGAAGCTTTATGGCTTGTTTGCACTGATTACTCCAGGATCCTAAACTTGGTGAAAGACACTGGGACACTCAGGGTTAATTACTTCACAGCACTGAGTGTCACCCATCAAAATAGTTTGTGTTAACAAACATGAATCCCATTGGTGTGATGTAGGAAATCCTGTAGTCATATTTTCTTGAACTGAAATATTTGACTTAAAATATGGCTCATTGTTATTTTTCATGTGGGCATAGTTGTGGACAAGTTGATGCAGTATCAAATCTCTTTGCTTTCCAGTAAGCTTAGCTTATAACATGCGTTTTTCTCTTGTCCTGTCTTTAGATATACATGTCTATATTTATACTGGATTTCACAGACTATAAAATTGAACGTATGAAATTTGCAATGATACCAGTGCTTTTAATAATGATATTTTTGGAGTAATTGTGCTATCTTGTAGCGAGTTATTAATCATAGTAAAGATTTTTTTCTCTTCATTTGCTTTTTGTTTCATATTAACAATTTTTTTTTTACACGGACACAACCCTCTGACAGTCTTTTCAAATATTAAAATCATTTGAATATGTATGCTGTGATCTGAACACTGCCCAAATCATCAAGCAGTCTTCATATAGTTTGCATTATAAAATTTCATTAAATTCTCCAAGCAAAAATAAATTGCAGAATTTTATTTCCTAACCATGCATCCCCTGGATTCCTGAATTTCAGTTCAGACTGTAGATGACAATATAAGCTGCCTTTAGAAATTGTCAACATCTGAATGTTAAGTCCATTTTCCCCATGGAAGAAGCCCTTAGTTCCATGAAGTATGGATTACCATTTGTATTTTTCACTAACAGTAAATGTATTTTTCTTATTAATTGTTTGCCTTAGGAATGATGAATTACATTTTTTTGTTCCTTCTTACCATAAACATCTGCATTCCTCAGCTCAGCCTTCCTTGTATGTTGTTTCTTTATAAATGGTTGAGCTGCTGATGCAGGTATTGCCAAGCTAACAGTACAAATCATTTTAAAGAGGAAGCTGGCGCGTATGGCAGCCGAGGAGCACACTCTGCAGGACACTGGACAAGACAGTAAATATTCAACTTTTAATGCTGATTAAAGGAGTATAGGTAAAGAATACGTAGGTATACATAATTGGTGAGACAAATATTCACTTTATTTATATTTTATATATTATTTTTTAATTTGGTAAATACTATCCAGTTTGTAGTTGTCCTTGTTGATTTGTGTGATATTAAAATATTAGTAATAATTGCCAGGAAACTATCATTAGGGAGGGTTTAGTCGGTTGCTGTTTGGACTGGGAGGGATGATTTAAATTTAGTGCTAGAAACCAATTTTAGTGGCTGCACAGTTTATCATTTGTCAGACAGAAGGTAGCTATAAAGCTACCCAGTAAGTCAGATCAAAAAAGTTCAGAGGAAGATTAGTAAATATTTATCAATAAAAATAAACATTTTATTTTTCTAATATCTTAACATGTCCTCCCCTTTAGGAGGAAGAACGTGCAAAACGTGAGGAGCTAGAGCGAATACTAGAAGAGAATAACCGAAAAATTGCAGAAGCACAAGCCAAACTGGTAAGTTTAAATAAAGCATTTGTGAGAAGTATTTTGCATTTGCCTTTTCTTTTTAACAAATTTTGTGGAATGATTTTATGCTTTATAATTTCACTTATTTGCTGGGGACGCTCATAGCTACTCTAATGCTTTAAAGCAGGAGTGTGAATAGTTGACTAGATTCTTAGTCTGGAGAAGACTCCAAAATTTTCAGGGGTTTAAAACAGGTTTCATGGAGAAGTTCTACTTTCACCCCTCCCCAGTTTTTATCCATCCTAAGCCCATTCACATTTCTTCTATGCCTAAAAACACTAACACCAAAATCTTGGAGTTGTTTAAACCAACTGATGTTTAGCATTTTGTTTTGGGCTACGAGGCAGAATAGAGTATATATTTGAGCCAAGTATATGAAGATAATAAAATTCTTTTTTTTTTTCTTTTTTCCTATTCCTAGTTTATAATCTAACCACAGAGACTTAAGTAATTATGATAATGAGAGCTATAAAAGTAGTAAAGAGCAATTTTAAATTGCAGTAAAGAAACCAATGTAAAAAACATTAAGCAAATTTTTAAAATCAAATTATTTATTCTAATTTGTTATACATGATGGCAGAATACAATTCATTCCGTATTACACTTATAGAGCACAATTTTTCAAGTTACTGATTGTACACAAAGTATTTTCACACCATTCGGGTCTTCATACATGTACTTAGGGTAATAATGTCTAACTTATTTCACCATCATTCCTATCCCCTAGCCCCCTCATTTTTCCTTCTTCCCCTTTGCCCTATCTAAAATTCCTCCATTCCTCCCATGCCTCTGCCCCCCATAACCATTATGAGTCAGCATCCCATTGAGTAAATGTTTTAAAAGGAAGAAACTATATCACTTCTATTTTCCTTCCAAGGTTTTTTTTTTTTTTTTTTTAATGTTTACCAACATTTTTGAAGTTGAATAAAGATTTTGAAGTAGCCTCAGTCTGAGGAAGAAGAAAGCTAGAATTCAAGGACTATGGATATGAGTATTCCAAAACACACAAAGGGAAATAGGTACTTTGAGGAAAGACTTTTATCCACCATGAAGGTGGTATATACAGGAAGACTACTTCAAAGTAAGAATATAAGAAGAGATTGAAGGACATTTACCTAAGATGGTAGAGGGAGGTGATTAGTGGTGGTGATTTAATGCCCAGGAGTAAAGACAGGACCCAGGAGGAACTCTTGGCTTTGGGGAGAAATATAGAAAAGATTGTTAAGTTAGAAATGTATTGAGAATAAAAGGGCCCAAACAATGATATTTGTTGCTGAGTCATATTGTTGACTGGAGGTGGGGAGGCATGGCTAGTCTGTAAGCTTCAGTTCCCCTTTTTTGTGTGTGAAGTATGAGCCCAGGGGCACTCAGACACTGAGTTACACCCCATACTTTTTTAAAGTTATGCGATAGGGTCCTACTAAGTTGCTCAGGCTGGCCTTAAACTTGCATTTCTCCTGAGTAGCTGGGATTGTAGGAATGTGCCACTGTTCCTGGCTTATTTTTATTAAAAAAATAATCTTTGTGTTGACGAGTTCACAATAAAAGATCTCAAGAAGAGTCTAATTGATAATGGAGCCTACTTAGGGTGAAGGAGAACTTTATTATCCTATAGTTCACAAGGGTCTGAAACGTTAATATGGGATAGTTGGTTCAAAAGCATAACTTTAAAAAAAAAAATAGAGTGCCCCAGATAAAGATGATACTGGAAATAAGCTAGGTGACTTAGCATCTTGACAATTATCACTGTCTTGCTTATTTTGAAGGCCATAATGAAATCTGTATTAGAAAGCCTTAATCCTACTTTCCCAGTGAAATACTTTGAAATCTGCTTAGGTAGAAGAAAAAGATATGAATATGAGATGTATGATAAATCATAGAATTTATCATTTTTACAAATATGTGATAATGCTTCTTTACTGATTCCATTTAAGGAGAGAATCTCTGTACACATGCGGAAGTAAGAGGGAGTTTTGAGTTTTATTTTTTTTTTTTTGTATCAGGGATTGAACTCACGACAACTCAATCACTGAGACACATTCTACCCCTTTTTATTTCTTCAGATTTTGAGTTGCTTACTGAGTTGCTTAGTGCCTCGCTAAGTTGCTGAGGCTGTCTTTGAACTCAAATTCCTCCTGCCTCAGCCTCCTGAGCAGCTAGGATTACAAGTGGGCCATGTGGAGCCTGGCAGACCTTGAGTTTTAAAGTGTCAGCTTTAAAGAGTAAACACAGTCTGCTTTGGGAGGCATGGACATTCTAAAAGAGAAGAAAAATATGATTGATTTTTAGAAAATTGAAACAAAGTAACCAAGCAGTTGAAACTAGAATTCCTCGTAAGATATGCTGAAGAGATAGGATAGCTGTGGTAGGTTTGATTTGTGGATGGCATGGAAATTCCTCACCTAAGCCTGACATGCCAAGATCTTGATCCCTCCTGACCCTGGGGTGGTTAGGGACAGCTTAGCCTCTTTTGTCCCTTCAGCAGCTCTTCTTGTTTACTCATATGAACCATAAAAATACAAACTTTTGTTTATTATTTCTGGGAACAGATTGGTAACTATTGTAGAGGAGTACTTTTCAAGTGGTAATAGATGGCTAGTTCTGTGTTTTTAATCCCATTTCATTTAAGACTTCTACTTTTAAAAAATACAGTTCGGAGAATTGCTAGAAAGATGAAAGTCCTCTAAAATACTTACTGTTGGTTTCTATTTGTGATCTGATTAATTTGCAGACTATTGGGCTGCGGGCCACTTAGCACCAGGACTGTTCTAGAGGGCATAGATTTATGTTTGAGCTGGTCAACTGTAGGGAGTGTTATTATTCTGATGACATTTTTTTTTCACTAAAATGCTGTGGAAAGATACCATGGGGGAAAGAGGTTTGAATTTTAGAAAAGTTGATAAGAATTCAGATATACTTAACACATGTTTGCTGTGGTAAGTTAGAAGCATAGGAAGCTGTTGATGTTGTAGCAGTTTTTTAAAAAATTTCTATTGGTAGTCATATTGGCAGGGAAAGTAGGATGTACTTTGTATAAAATTATTGCTGTATAGATGGTGGCATAGAACACATGGAGATTTCTTTCGTTTTTATTGGACTTTTCCGTAAGGGAAAAAGCACTGTGCTTTAATTTTATACTTTTTTTTTTTTTAGGAAATATAATGCAAAATTCATTGAGAATCCCATTGAAATAACCTGGTGTTTGTGAAAGGAAGGAGATGTAATAGCATGTTACAGATACCATAGGGGAATTTCCTCAGTATATTAGCAGTGGCAGTTCATCTGATCAAACCAGCATTTGCGATTGTTTTGTGACTTCATGAGTACACAAAAAGTGTGGGCAGTTTGTTGTTCTGTGTGCTATGTAAAGCAAAAAGATAGGAAGCATTCTGGTCATAAGAAAATGAGGGGAAAGCAGTTGTGGCCTCAGGAGCTATTTACTAAAATTGTTTTTGAGAAGCATTTTGGTTTTAAAGTTGACAAGGAATTCATTTCCTCTAAGTAATTTAATGTATTTATTGCAGAGACAAGGCCAACTCCAAGAAAAGTTAACTAAATTAGTATGGAAATATTTGGTAGGTGGTGTCAGTGATGTGAGATGATTGATCGACTTGTCATGGTGGGAGGCTTGAGAAACCTTTCTAGAAAAGGTACCCCTTGTGCTCAGCCTGGATAGATAAAATTGGAAGTAGGAGGCAGTGAGGAAATGAAGCAGGGCAAAGGCCTTTTGAGCAGAAATAATAGGACAAACACAAGAGCAGGTGAAATGGAATCTCCTGGGATCCTGGGGGAAAGGTAAGTATGTTAAAGCAATGTTAAGTAAGATTTTGAAAGCAGATTAAAGAAAATACTCTGGGAGGGGGGAGGAGTTTTTTTTTTTAAAACATCGTAACAGTGAAGACATAAAAGCAGTGATATTTTACAAATGGGAAGAGAAGGCCAACTTTCTAATTACAGCTCACAATAATTGACAAACATTAAAGAGATTATTTATACAAGTACAATAAAAAAAAGGCTACAAAAATTTCAGAAAATAGGGAAGCAAAGGAATGCCCCTCTCTTTTTTGTTTTTCTGTAATAGCAAATCCCAAATTGGAAAAGCTTTTGGAAAAGCTGTGGCAGTATCCTGTGTTGGTAAGGATATAGTGTAAGGAGTGTCCTTTATGTGATTATTTTGGGAATTTAAATGGAAATACAATTTCCCAAAATACTTAACAGTAAATTAGTAAATATCAAATTCTTCTAAGAATGTGAAAATGGATCCTAAAAATAAATTGACATATAAAATCAATTATAATTTATAAAATAAAGTTACACAAAAATAAAATTTTCCCCAGATTATTTAAAATAGTAAAACATTCCAGGTTATTAGCAAAATTATAATCAGTGAATTATTCTGTAATCAAAAAATATTTGATGCAGGGGAAATAGGAAATAGCCAAATAGGAAACTTACATCTATAATATACTATTATTTTGAAAAAAGTATATTTGTACATTTTAAGACACAGAAATATATATGCTAGAGTGCTTCCCAATAGTTTTCAGTTTCTGCATATTCTACAAGTAATCTATATCACTTTCATGATCACACAAAATTAGGAAAACAGTTAACAAGCCACACTTTTGACCAGCTTTTCAATAGACCCTTCTGATAAAAAAACTGGGCCCAGGGATGACAGTAATGTGTTAAGCTTATCAACTTATATATGAAGATCAATATTAAGTGCTCTAGTCAAGGGTAGTTTTTTAAATTCATTTTAGTTTCAAATTCTCTATCAAGATATTTGCTTTGTCTATCCATAAAAAATAAAATTTCAACTGATACACATAACTTGTTTCATTAAATCAAATAATTCATCTAAATGTGACTTGGTTTTACTTTGGTAATGCACAGCTTTTTTCAAATATTGCAAGAGTTATTGCTAATACAGTACAGGTTTATTATTATTATTTTAAGTAGCACTTAAAATTTTTTGAAGTCTCCAG